TTGTCCTTTTGGACATCTGGGTGTCCGTGGTGGATTTGCACTCCAAGATGCAGCTCGACACTATGAAGAAGACATGTTTGATTGGTTCAGTTTAGTTCTTGACCAATATCTCTATGATCACATTTCAGCTCCTTTGTTTTCTGGGTCTGACCTTTTTTTTTCCCTTTTATAAAGACAAAGCTAAAATATTTTTCTCAAAGTGTATGTGGCACTGTGGGCTAAACCACAGAGCCTAGGACTTGCCGATCAGAAGGACGGCGGTTCGAATCCCCGCGACGGGGTGAGCTCCCGTTGTTCAGTCCCATCTCCTGCCCACCTAGCAGTTTGAAAGCACATCAAAGTGCAAGTAGATAAATAGGTACCGCTCCAGTGGGAAGGTAAACAGTGTCCATGCGCTGCTCTGGTTCTCCAGAAGTGGCTTAGTCATGCTGGCCACATGACCCAGAAGCTGTACGCTGGCTCCCTTGGCTAATAAAGCGAGATGAGCGCTGCAATCCCAGAGTCGGCCACGACTGGACCTAATGGTCAGGGGTCCCTTTACCTTTACCTTTACAGTCTGCTGAAAGGAATGGCAGTTTTGAGTCCTGGAATCTCACCATCATCAGCCATCCAGCTTAAGCTTAAATAACCAGTTTTATCCCATGTGTCACCTCAAATAGTTTGGGATCACAATCTTCTCTCTCTCTCTCTCTCTCTCTCTCTCTCTCTGTGTGTGTGTGTGTGTGTGGATGTGTGTGGATGTGTCTTCAACATGTCTGCAGCAGAAACCCTAACTGAGATGGGTTTAAAAAAACAAGCAAATACAAAATAGACCAACAACAGACTTTAAAGAGTCCTATAGGTGTTAAATTTAGCAACAGGGTGCACAGCTGGGGTGCATTAGAAGCTGAACAAGTGACACTGACAGCTGGGCTTTATGAACAGAGAAGCCATAAACAGTTATGCTTGTGGTCTGGTTTGAAAGTGTGATCCTGGGAAAGCAAAGTAGAGCTTCTTCCCAAACAAACAATGGATTGGAGCCTAATGAAGTATCTGATCTTACTGTGTCACCATCTGATTTACCAAGTTTTCTCTTATGAGGCTTAATGAAGCCATGCCATTCTATTGCAAATAAACTTAGGGCAGCTTCAAAGCCCTGTTCTGTTTGCTTTTCGAATGGATGGTAATTTTGAAAGGGAAATAGGGTTGCCATATTTCAAAAGCTAGAAACTCGGACACCCCAAAAGGTATTGAGCTTTTTTTTTAGGAAGCCCCCAAAATTGATGAGCTTTTTTTTATTTTAAGGAAAACTCAATACTTGTTGAGTTTTTTGGGACAAACACCAAAACTTATTGACTTGCCTAAGATCCTGGACAGAGCGCCTCCTTTCAGAAATTCCACACAGGAGCCTTTGAAATCCTAAATAATATATCCAAAGGTGGCTTGTATAGAACACTGTCCCCTTGCAATCCAAAGGCATTGTGGCTCCAGATCTAAACAGAGAGGACTATGGCTCAAATCTCATTGAAAACCATTCTTTCTGATCTAGAGGTTATGGACCCTAAGGGGAGATATGCATATTATCCTGACAAGCACAAAAATTGGGGGTGGGAGAGACAAGGAATGAAGAATTTGTATTGGGGGAGATATTGGCAGGTGGAAGAGGGTATGCTTAACCTGGTCCAAGACCATACTGGTAATAATTTTTTACTTTTTGAATGTTGTCTAGATTTCTACAACTGATTTAGGGTATTTTTGCACTGCTGAATCAGGAAATGGCATCCGTTTCTCTCCATCAGGTCAGGTTTACAGTAAACTGAATGGTGGGCATTGATAAAGGTAAGTACACGTAAATTGCATGTTGCTTCACCATTTTTCAAACTTCAGGGCTTCAACTTTCGTTTCTTGGAACTCCTGGAATGCTCAGCGGCAGGGAGGTCTCTTCAGAGTCCAACAGTAGTCAGCCATCATGACTGCGTCCCAGCGACCCTGATACCTGGTCTCCATCTCTTTCATGTCCTGATGGAATCTCTCCCCGTCCTCGTCACTCATTGAACCCAGGTTCTCAGGAAACCGGTCCATATGTGAAAATAGTGCATCTTGACACTCATGTTGCAGCCCAGGTTTCTGAAAGCAGTCAGCATGTTGTTGACAAGTTCTGCGTAGTTTCTGGCCTTATTGTTGCCAAGAAAGTTATTCACTGCCAGAACAAATGCCTTCCACGCTTCCAGTTCCACTTCGTTCATTGAGTTTCCGAACTCTGGATCTCTGATGAGCTGACGGATCTGAGGACCGTCAAAGATGCCAGCTTTCAACTTCTCCATGGTCAATCCTGGGAAAGCCTGGCACAAGTAAGTGAAGCAGTCACCATCCTTGTCCAGAGCCTTGGTGAACTGTTTGATTAAGCCGAGCTTGATGTGCAGCGGTGGGAAGAGTATTCTGTCTCTGTCCACCAGAGGGTCGTTGATGATGTTCCTTTTTTTGCAAGGCACCAATTCCTCCCGCACAGGCCAGTCCTTCTTCGTGTAATGCTGAGCACGGTCCCTACTATCCCACATGCACAGAAAACATGGGTACTTGGTGAAGCCAGACTGTTGTCCCAACAAAAAGTTCACCATCTTCAGGTCAACACAAATAAACCACTTATGCTGATCATAACCAATTTTCTCCAGCACATACTTCACCGCTTCATAGTTCTCCTTCAGTGTAGTCGAGTGAGCCAGGGGTATAGAGGCAAACTGGTTGCCGTTGTGTAGCAGAACACATTTCAGTGATCGCTTGCTGCTGTCAATGAACAGTCTCCAATCTTTGGGTTCATACTGTGGCACTCCAAGCTTGAGCAGAAGCTGCGCAATATCTGCACAGTAGACTAAGTCCTTCTCTTCCAAGAAAAAACGGAGGTACTCTTGATGCCTGTTGCGGAAGAAGCTGATGTGAGCACTGTCAGAGAGGAGGTTTTTTTCCTTCAATCTGGATGCCAACAGTTCGGCAGAGTCCTTTGACAAGCTGAGGTCGTGAACTAGATCACTCAACTCCTTTTGGGAAAATGGATGTGGAGCATCATCTTCAAGAACCACTTCTTCTTCTTCATGTCCTTCAACACTGGAGGCATCTTCGTCACTAATGTCAGGAAGTTCTCCGAAGATAGGCACTGGAATTTCATCACAATGAGCTACAGGACGACGTGCTGATTGAAGATCAGGATACTTGAGGCTGCTCCGGTTCTTTCTGTTGATCCCAGCCGCACCAATTTATGGAAGATTTCGAGGTTTTATGACTTCAAACTGATCCCTTTTCAGCATAATCACCCAGAACTATCGGACCTGAATACTTCTTGTCATTAAAATAATCATTTCCAATCAAAACAATTATTCGATATGGCATTTTACCCCCACCAACTTCTTCTAAAATGCAACCAAAATGGTCAAAGGCCTGGAAACGATGCCTTATGAGGAACGGCTAAGGGAGCTGGGCATGTTTAGCCTGGAGAAGAGGAGGTTAAGGGGTGATATGATAGCCATGTTCAAATATATAAAAGGATGTCACATAGAGGAGGGAGAAAGGTTGTTTTCTGCTGCTCCAGAGAAGCGGACACGGAGCAATGGATCCAAACTACAAGAAAGAAGATTCCACCTAAACATTAGGAAGAACTTCCTGACAGTAAGAGCTGTTCGACAGTGGAATTTGCTGCCAAGGAGTGTGGTGGAGTCTCCTTCTTTGGAGGTCTTTAAGCAGAGGCTTGACAACCATATGTCAGGAGTGCTCTGATGGTGTTTCCTGCTTGGCAGGGGGTTGGACTCGATGGCCCTTGTGGTCTCTTCCAACTCTATGATTCTATGATTCTATGCTCCACACAAGCGTACATGTGAACAAAAACGTAAAAAAATGACATGTGGCCATAGCTCAAAAACTTGACCTGATTGAGCAAAACCAATGTGATTTTTGGATTCAGTGCATCAGATTTGTCCTAAATCAACTGAAAAAACGCAGACAACAAATTTGTTGTTGACCAGTGATTATTTCATGATGACCAAGTATTCCCTACAAATGGCTATTTGCTCCAAGGAGCCAAGTTACTTCAGTGGGTCAACACTTGATTATGACTCCACTGGATACAACCCAGAGTCATCTTGAAAAGAAAGATGACCTCACACTAAGGGTTCCTGTTTGCTTGCACAAAGACTATGACCAGTTTTTACTGAGCCATCATTCTAATGTGTTTCTGGGATGAGCTTGAATCCCTTCCAGAAAATGTGAATGGTCTGGAGGCAGCCCAGGTCAAAACACATTGGGAATAACATATACCATACTTTCTATTTCTGAGAATCATTTTTGGACTGTCTTTTTGTTGTTGGTGTTGTTTGGTTGATTTTTGTTCCCCTGTTGTTGTTGCTTCTCTTTATTTTGTGCAAGTTAGAGTGGTGCCTCAGGGGAAATAAAGTATTAGGGCCTCATCTGTGCTGTACATTTAAAACACTACAGTGGTAACTCGGGTTACATACACTTCAGGTTACATACGCTTCAGGTTACAGACTCCGCTAACCCAGAAATATTACCTCGGGTTAAGAACTTTGCTTCAGGATGAGAACAGAAATCGTGCAGCGGTCACGCAGCTGCAGCAGGAGGCCCCATTAGCTAAAGTGGTGCTTCAGGTTAAGAACAGTTTCAGGTTAAGAACAGACCTCCAGAACGAATTAAGTTCTTAACCTGAGGTATCACTGTACAGTGGTACCTCCGGTTGCGGACAGGATCCATTCCGGAGCTGCGGTCGGATCCCGAGGTTTCTGCAACCGGAGGTGCCTGTTCTGCACACACACACGGCCTGATAGAGCGCTTCTGCGCATGCATGCACGGCGAAACCCGGAAATATACTTCTGGGTTTGCCACGTGCGTATCCCAAAGGATACGTAACAAGAGGGGAACGTAAGTAGAGGTACCACTGTCTAATACAACTTTTAAAAATCATGTCTCCTCCACACACACAAAAGGCTCCTTGGAACTGTGGTTTGTTAAGGGTGCTAAGAGTTGTTAGGAGACCCCCATTCCCCTCAAAGAGCTACAATTTCCAGAGTTCACTGAGAAAAGGGTGTTATTCTTCAACTACTCTGGGAATGGTAGCTCAGTGAAGGGAATAGGGATCTCCTAACAAATCTCAGCACCCTTAAGAAACCAGTTTCCCGTATTCTTTGAGGTGGGGAGCCGTGACTGCTTAAAGTGGTATTATGCTACTTTAAATGTAGAGTGCAGATGGGGCCTGAGACACAATTCATCCAAAGTTCATCTTTTAAGTTTTATTGGCCTCTATTTGAGAGTAAAGCACATGATTGTTTTATAGTTTGTGATTTATTCATTTCTCTATTGTGCTACCCAAGAGGGGCTTTCTCTGGAAAATTGTAGTATATAATGTTCTTTTTTTAAAAAAAAAAATGAACAAAGTAATAAATTAATCTTTTCCCATTGAAATGAGTGAGGTGTGAAGAGTGCTTCATTTTGGTTAGATTTTACCCACCTATTTCTGTGGGGATTCTATCTGTTTCTGCCATCCCCTTTCAAAGCTCACTAGTGAATCTACACAATCTCAACATATAGAAAGCCAACTTTTAAAGTCTTGGAATTTATCACCATGGAGGCTTTTTCTTTTTCTTTAAAGGAGAAATAATTCCAAAGCAAATCTGATACATGCTAGGACTTTAGTTTGAGTAATTTTAGTAGGCTATCCAAAAGCTCAAGATAATTTACTTTTGGTCTTAAACATGTTGCAGCCTCTCTTGGGGGAGATTCTGCTGGCTGTATATGTCAAGGCAGCTTTTACTCAGGCTCTGTACAAATCTTTTGTATCATTTTCCACACTAATAAACTGACTGCAAAAGTAGCGTTTTGTGAAACACAAAATGTTTAGTTTGGATAAGAATCCAAGCCGTGTTCTGCCTGCCTGCCAAACAGGACCCAAAGTCTCACATTTAACATTCTTGATATGTTTTCTAGCTCTCACTTGGAAATATAATGAAAACAGGTTTTTTTAAAGGTGCAGTTAGATGCAACTGTGGAACTTTGGTACAAAAAGACATGCAGATGCTCAAGTGCTTAACTACAATGGATATAGATTTTTAAAAAAGGTAAACAAAAAGATTTCGGGTTTTGTGTAATGATGGCTTAAACATGGAATTCTTCCTATCCCTACTTAATTAAGTAAAAAAAAAAATCAAAGCTATCTCCTTCTATCTCCTCTTCTTTCTTTCTTTTTCTTTCTTTCTTTTTTGAAAGATTATTAACCTACCTGTGTTTAATTTGCAATTTGGGTTGCTTATTTGTAAATCAATGTGCTCAATTCTCTACAGATTCCAAACCATCTGTAGGTATCCCTAATAGACACAACAGAGTCTTTCTATTATTCGACTCATCAGTGGGCTGGCTCACGCATAAAATATATTTCGAGAGAAAACATGTTTTAAGATGTATTTGTATGCAACATTTTCTGCAGATTCCCCTCTTCCCAATCCTCTCAGATCCCAATCCAGACAGAAATAGAATGGAATGTACCTATGCAAAAACATAATATATGCTTATGTCTAGTATGCAGAATAGAGTGATTTCACCCATCCCCACCTTCGATTCCCAATTCCAAAAATTAGGGTGCCTCCAGACTGAGAATATTTTGTGAGAGGGATTCAAGTGCCTACCAGAACTTTAGGTTTGTGCAATTAAAGTGGATTAAACTACTCTATTGCCTTGGTGCAACTAATCCGCTTTTTAAAACATTGTTTATTTGTTTGCTGCTTGGAAAGTGATGGGGAAATGAGTTGAAACGCCTGGGATGAACAAATGCTTAACGAGGAGACTTGTAAACCCCAGAAGCAAATCAGGATGAATGCCTAATAAAGACAGGAAGGAGTCTATCAACTGCATATGTTTTGTACAAGCAAATCCGGATGAATGCTGCATAATTGGGTTTTTCTGGAGGAGTCCATGCAATCCCTCAGAATTCAGCAGAGAATAAACCAGTTCACTTGAAATAGGATAATAATTTAAAATGTCTCCAAGTGTCATGAAAACCTATGTAGTAGTCATTCATAACCATGTTGATTCATCTGCATGCAATAGTATAAGCTGGGCGAGGGTGAATAGTCCTCTATTGCAATCATTCTTCTTTCAAATGCCATACTTAATGCTTAACAATTAAGCCCAATTTTCCCCATAGGTATATGCAAATTCAGAACAAAAGAGCCCATGCCTTTTTCAGTCAAGTGCCATACTATAGAATGGGTTACAAATGGCCATTCACCTTACTATATTCAGTAGTCCATATTGCAGTTACGTTTAGAGGGAAGCCCACATAAAAGAATTCATTATCAACAGAAGAATAGAGGATTAATTGGAAATTGTCAACTGATGAAATGCTCTCAATGGGAGAAAATGGACTTGATCACAAAGTACCAATTGTGCCTATGGACTCTAATTTGCTTTTCAGTGGTGCCTAAACAGTAGACCTGATTAAAAAGCAACTGCCAAGGCTATTACCTGACTCTCAGTTTCTATCAAAATGCCCCAGCTCAGATGAAAAATGAAAGCCTCCATCGATATTTCCTGGGGGAATATCATAGGTCCAATTAAAAAATTCTCTTCTGCAGATCCATCACGGCAAGCATATTCTAGGATTGGACAATAGGATGCTGGATGAGACTAAGATGAAAGGCCAATTAGAAAGGAGGTGGCAAACCTGCAATTTCGAAAAGGCTAACAAAATCAAAGGCAAGACCTGTGGAAAGGCAGCAAAATAGCCGGAGTTTCAAAAGGCATGCAAAGAGATACCGTATTTGCTCCTGCTAAAGGGCAAACGGATCTGGGTTTTCATTGCCTTTTAAAGGAAGAAGTTTAAAAATAAAGCAAACAAACAAACAAAAACACTTCAAAGGCCCATGCCTGTCCGCTATGCTTCACTGTATTAAAATTAAGAGTTTTCCCAATTGCAAGGGAGAAATAATGGCTTTATGGAAAGAGCACATGCTTTGCACATACAATGGTTTGAGGTTAAGTGACTAGGTTTTTCCAGGCTAACTCATCTATAGAAAGAATCTAAAGAAACCTTTCTTGGTTTAGAAACCAACCAACCCAGAAAAGTCATTGCTGCAGGGGAGGGAGGGGGGAATTGTATGCATGTATCCTACCCTATTATAAATTGAGTTAACTGATTTTAATATTTAATATTCCAATGCAATTTGTTTAACTGCTCTTACTATTGCATTACAATATTATTATACTGTTGTTGTAACCCACCCTGGGGCCTGATGGGGATTGGGCAGGGGAAGTAATCCTATAAAATATAAACCAGAAGTCACAGTGTTTAAAACATTTGTTCAAGAATTCATCTTAACTCTAGAATGAGTCTGAAGTTTACCTTTCTTTCTGAATGTGTCCCCTGCCTATTTATTTCTGTTGACCCTCTTTTTTCACTTCTGAAGGTAGCTTCTTACTTCATACCAGACTTCACTAACCTGGTGCCCTCCAAGGGTTGTTGGACTACATTTCCCATCATCCGTCGGCTGCCATCACAGGAAGTCAAATGTGGAGGTTAACCACCGACAACTCCTTCTCCACTTTTTCGACAGTGGAAATAGATCTTTGTGCATCAGCCCCATAGGATCTGATGGACCCATGAGGGGCACCTGAGTACCACATGCAAATCTCTTGACTCAGGAGCACAAACATTCAAATTTCTGAAAGCGCAATTACTTCTGCCATGGGCACTGTTCTATTCAGAGCTAATTTATAATGTGAAAATGGGACATTCTTATGTTTATTGCTGATTTATGTGATACTGTTCATATGTATATTGCCTAATGCAAATCTTCCTCAATCTCTTCTTGCCTAGCTTTCTATCAGCACTGTATTTTTTTAAATAAAGGGGAAAAAACCCGTAGGTGTATTGACTCAAAAGATGCACTTCCACCAGCTCCAACAAAACATTTCTCATGGAAAATATTTTCCCTTCTCAGCAGTCATATCTTAATTTCTGCTTTTTGAAGCTTGACTCCTGTATAGTAACGCCACAGGACACCACAAGCAAATATCTACCTATTAATCTTTTTGTAAGCTTCCACGTGTAAGGGCTGTTTTTGCATGAGGGATAGAATTGTCGTGCTGCTGTACTCAAAAGGATTCTCACTTCCTCCTTCCTTGATCCAACCATACAATCAACATGGAGTGGGGAAAAGGTTGGGCTTTTAGTTTTTGCTTTATTTTTGAAGCTCAGATTTTGTTAGGTAGTGGTAACTGAATAAACTCAAATCCTTGGCATCAGCAACTTTTACTGCTGCAATTACTACAGCTTCAATAGATATAGGCGGAAAATAGGCCAGGCCAGTGATTCTGCTCCTTGCTACGCAATTAGCAAATTGCAAGATCCCTTTGTGCCTCTGTTTAATAGACCACATTAGAATCAGATCAGTCACCCTGATTCACTCTTCCTGCTGTGTATTCATGCATTCCACTACCAAGTCCCTCATGATATTTTTGTGATGAACTTGGTAAATGTGGGTTGGACGAGGTAACTGTGTGAATTTGTAGCTGGTTGCTTGATCGAACCCAAAGAGTACTCATTAATGGTTCCTCATCATCCTGGGGGTAAAGTGACAAATGGGGTTCTGTAGGGTTCTTTTCCTGGGACTGTTGTTGTTCAGTGTCTTTATAAACAACTTGGGATGAAGGAATTGAGAGGACACTCATCAAATTTGCAAACAACACCAAACTGGGAGGGATAGCTAGTGCCACAGAAGAAAGAATCAAGATTCAAAATGACCTTAAAAGATTGGACAACTGGGCCCAGACTAACAAAATGAATTTCAATAGGGCCAAATGTCAGCTTCTGGTCTTAGGCTGGAATAACCAGCTGCACAAATATAGGAGGGGGAACAAATGGCTTACCAGTAGTGCATGTCAAAAGGGTCTGTGGGTCTTAATAGACCACAAACTTAACATGAGTCAACAGTGTGATGCAGCCGCCATAAAAGCTAATGCTATTCTAGGCTGCATCAACAGTGTCCAGATCAAGGGAAGTAATAATACCACACTGTTCTGCCTTGATCAGACCACACCTAGGCACCACAATTTAAGAAGGCTGTTGATTAGCTGGAACAGGATGACCAGGATATTCAAG